GGGGGTATTTTAGCAGGGACCTCGAGAAGTTCCAGTCGGCAAGTCTATATCACTGCAGCTACTAGCATATATATACATGGTTTAACTGATAAGTATACGTTATAGGGCAGCAGATCAGACCGTAACTAGGATTCTGAGACAACCGAGTCGACCACCAAAGGTGCGAGCCTCTAGAGGGGTCACTGGGGGCATGCCCCCCCAGAAAATGTTGAATTATTGTGAGCTCAGATAAGCTATTTCCAGCATTTTGAAGAGTTTTTGCGTAGTATAGTATTATCATTCACCACACTTCAAATTCTACAGTATTGTACTACATGTATTGGGGTATACTTGAAATCGACGCATTCGTCTTCTCAGTGTCACTGAAGAGCAAAATACGGTGGTCTCTTTGGAGTATCTTTACTTGGACTGAAAACTAAACATTGTCCTAAAATGCCATTTCATGCCTCGTTCCACGAGCAAATTATTTCAGTCATGGTTTAGGTTTCTGGCGATGTTTAAATTCCAGTCCCCAAATTCCTACGGAGTTAACGGACTCGGTTGACCCATAGCTAGTTTCGGGCCTGCAGATAATGGTCAAATTCAGAAATGTTAACAACTTAACATCATTTTCTCACTTTGATACATAATTGCTGGTTAACCACCTACTGTAGGTAGTTCTTAGGGACCTCACTGGGGGGTGGGGGGGAGACAAAATTTCCGACTGGAGGAGCCAGTAAGAGGGCTGGGGGGGACATATCCCCCCAGTCTATATGTTAAAAGAGGCCCTGAATATACGGTGTTCCATTGGATAATCCGCCATTATGCATGATAATCACACATGTGCGATTATCATGTTTTGACTCACCAATCAAAAATCAGGATTAAGAGCCGTGGCGGGTAAAAGAAGTTCGTAGTATATAAAACAAACACAAAAATACACGAATGCTTGGAAATCGATGGAATTTATCCGTCTCGTGTTGAGAAGATATCTCTCTCGTTCGCTGTGCTCACTCGTTCGATATCTTTCTCAACACTCGAAATAAATTTCATTTATTTTTTTGCGGTCCGGTGTTCAAGCTTTTTAGCCAATCAAATTGCTTCGTTTGCGGTCCAGTTTTTCACGATACGGACCGCTCAACCTTGTCATTTTCCGGGAACTTCTTTCTTATATTATTCAGTTTTATAGGCAAATTACATGTGTTCGCAATGATCTAGCAAACAACGAATTCGATTAATTAAATTTGCCCATTTCAGCGTTGTATCCCCATTTCAGCGTTGTATCCCCATTTCAGCGTTTCATCCCCATTTCAGCGTTTTATCCCCATTTCAGCGTTTTATCCCCATTTCAGCGTTTTATCCCCATTTCAGCGTTTTATACCCATTTCAGTTTCCGCTTTCAGTTTCCGTTTCCGCGATTCAGTTTCAGCGTTTTATGCCTACCCTTTAAGACAGGGCACTTTAGTTACAATAACTGTATTTCTGTGACATACACTAGTAATGTCTAATATACACTAGTAATGTCTAATGAGCTTTAATTTGCCTTTGATAATTTACATATAGAATTCTGCCCGACTGATTCTGCCTTTTGTCCGCCGTATTTACATATGCGTACTATTTTGTATCCAAACTGTGGGCAAAAGCCAAAATGTGCAGGAACAATAACACGCGACTATATTCGATTCGCGATCCGTATGATTAATTTAATAATGTGCATTTAAGAATACAATATTATATTTATTTATTGAAAAAATACTATGAAACTGCTATATGCGTGAGATTTACTAATGACGTGGCGTGATAGCGTGAGAGTGAAGCAAAATGCGTGTGACTCATGCGTGAGAGTTGAGAGGTCTGATAGAACTAAACTGCCTGTATCGATAAACTTTGAGTTCGAAATAAAATGATTCCAAATTCTCGCATGCAAATAACTTTGCTTATTATAATAAAAAGGGAAATCAATAAAGAAACACTGAAATAATATGCTGTCTTGTTTCATATTTATACGCAACCTGGCAACGATTGGTTTTTAAAGTAATTACAGTATATTAAAAGCAAACAATGCATCAATAATAAAACAAACTTACCTTCGTTAACGTCGGCGCTTTTACTCCCTTCTTTTAGAAATTCTTTCGCATTTATTTTATCAAAAAGCTGTTGAAATTTACAAAATCTTACAAAAATGAAATATATGTGCAAGAAATCATCAAATCAAGAAATGTTTGCTATTTCGCTGTCGTCATGCAGTCGTTATAATGCAAATTTTAAATTGGACCAATCAGTGTTGGCTATTCATGACAGTCCGCTATATTATGAGATCAGTGAGGATGACCACCCACCGAAACATCGTTGGTGTGCCACACCCGCGATCATTGATGAGCTTTAGACTTCGCTAATGCTTTCGTTTCCCCGGGTGTAAATAGCCGGGCGGAATTAGTACCCTCGCACTCGGGTATGGGATAAAACGTTGTGACTCGGCTCGGGGGATAAAACGTGTTGACTCTTAATTAAACCATAGTTAATAGAAACAAACATGGTCAGGAAGGCCGGTAAACTTCAAAGGATTTCCTATTCAAACTTCAACTGATGTTGAAGTGTAATTCCGAGTGCACACATCTTTTGTCTTGCGTTTATTAATATTCAAATATTACGGTTCAGCGATTAAAGCGAAGGTTTTTATTGGGTAATCGCCTCATTATACAGAATCCGAGTGCACAAATTTACATAAACTTGGACAAAAACATAGGACATTTTTTCAAGCTTCCAAACCATGTTTATTTTCTACTAACTATGAAAGTACAAAGTGTATCTGAAACATCAATTGAGTCGGTTCTTCGATTAAAATCTTCGCTTTTGCCTTTGCGATGTCTCGTGTTATTGTTTGTCTATTTAAATTCCTCGCTCTTTCCTCAGTCCAAAATACAGTTTATCGAAGTGGTATTTCCGTCGAATTCACTGTTCAAATTTCTTACGGTAACAAAAATGACGGCATGTTACTTAGCAACCAATGGCCGCCACCTTGAATCAGGTCTGTTTACAAGGCAAAGTCGAAAAAAGTGAGCCCAAACAAAATATTATTTCGCCCACCGTGCGTGACTCACGGTGTGACTCACTCACGACTGTATGAAAGAGATTCCGCCGCGCGCTGATTGGCCGAGCCTAACGAGCGTGACTCACGGTGTGACTAACGCGTTACTCACGCATTGCAAACGGAGTGAAATAAGATAATACTACATAGTGAAATCGCGTCGGATTACATAAGAACACAGATACGATATTTTCTTGTAAGAATATTTTATTTCGTTGTAGACGTACTTTATGCACAAATTTAGTAAAGTTAATTTCTAACATTTCTAAGGTAATATCGTGGCTTTATTTTTAAAATTTGCTTGGGCTTGTCCGCATGTGCACTTTCTCTCTCTCCCCTAAATTGCCCTCTTCATGACTGGCATCATCTAGTTGCCCCGATTGCCCATTGTTTGAATCACTCTCTTCTACGATAACATCATGTGATTCATCATTGTTTTCATCCGAATTCTCTTCCATGCAGATCAGTGTCATTTGTGTTCCAGTATGGCTTTGGCTCGGGGCGAATGGTAGGTAATGTTAAAAAAATATGGCATAGAGGGAACGTCTGGTGAACCTGGATAACCTTGCCACAAGGAATCGTCTGTAAGACTTTGTACAGATTGTTTTGGCAAGTTTGAGGCGCCCAAAAGGTTTTTCGTAGCCGTAATTAGCATATTCTGAACCTTATTTTGCAGCCGATCTTGAGCTTGGAGGTGGCTGGAGAGTTTATTTTAAAACGCCTGAAACGATTCAACTCATTGGAGTAAAGTCCACTGTTTCATAGGGTGTTAACTGAGATGAATTCATGATATTTTCCATTTGTTGTTGCTTGTTGGATATATAGAGTTAATTAAGAATGGGAGGTTGTCGGTATGAATGCTTTTGGATATATTTGTTTAGGTTTGGAGGCAAAACGTCATTTTCCCCAGGTAAAACGTTCGTCTTTATTCTATGTTGATCAGCGGTAGCCGGTTTTAAATCAACCACAAGATATCCGTAGAGGCGACTTGTTACTTTCTCATATTAACTATATGACTACATGACTATGACTACCTGACTATGACTATATGACTACCCGACTATATGACTACCTGACTATATATGCATGGCATTCGTATAAGTTGATGAAGGAGTAGACAGTAAATATCAATAAATACAAATGTACTTTATTTCATAATACTACAGTTTTTGATGCTAAAATAACACAGAAATATCGAAACTGTTGAAATTAGTCACTATCGCAAATAGTGGATATTTAAACAAACAGCACAACATATACAAGTTAATTTGTCTTCACATCGTTTATACAAGCCAATGCTTTTCAATTTCCATATTTTAGATTCAGTTCCTTTATTGTTAACTCTATTTATACATGAAGTTATTGTGAGTAAGTTTACTAACAAATTAACAACTTTGAATTTGCAAAAAATATCAACAAAACAATCGTTCCACATTCGGTAACAGTCGGAAAGTGGGAAAAGGCTGGTAGCCTGATGTGGAACCACAGATAGAATAAACCTTGGATACTGTTTGCACTTATTATTTGTTTTTGTAAACGAGAACAATCAACAACGGGGTTATTGTATGTTGGTATGATTATTCAGACAGCAGAAAGTCGCATATATTTGACTCGTACATCACATTCCTTAAACAATATTACGGACTTGGAACTTGCAACTTCACAGACTCGTTTTTATTGAAAAATGGTAAAGAAACAGAGAATCGAATTTCATACCTGTATAGATATCGTTGCTATAGCGTTGTAAAGACAAGGTTCTGTATTTTTACACATTGTACATTTCTATTTTATAATCAACAAATCGAACATTAAAATTTTATACGAGTATTATCATGATTATAGTTTATTGCATAATGTAATAACAACACAACCAAAGGGACTGTTTGTACGTTCAAATGTTAAAAACAACCGCCTTTCGCGGTGACTCTCTTTGGTGGCACTGGATTCTCCACAGATCCAGCAGACTACACCTATATGTGAAATATTTGAAAGAAGAAAATGTCAACTTTTAGTTTATTCCTCTTAAGCCCGCTATTTCTATATATGCTTTTTGGACCTTTTTGACCAGTCTGAAATGTTCTTGTCCTTAATTACATTCACTGCACTCCAAATTAATCCTATCTCGAGCACGTTTTCATCCTGGTCTCGTATAAACATTTACTATAAATCATACTATGCTGAAAATCGGACTTGCACAGTTAAGTTTGACTTCATCCCGGTAATTTTCAAGTGCAACCGTACAGTGATATAATGCACAGTTATGCTTTTGAAGCCATTAAAGGACAGCCATTTAGTGCTCTGCATATGCATAACAGTGACTGTGTTTATTTTTTTATTTTATACTGAGGAACATGAAGAGTCATTAGTTTTCCAAGACTGTACAATGATTAAAATTTATTGTAAACTTGATGCACAACTTTTGAAAATAATATCACCTGACTATTATAATAGTAATAGCTTTGGTAAAGTACATACGGGATCTACAGGCAACACCATAATGGCCACGTAGACCACACTTGTGACAACGTCCTAAATTTAAAGAAAATACAATCAGTTATTTTTTCAAGGATAGGTATAATATCAGAATATTAATTTAGATTACGTACTGGAAGTGCACTCACTCAAAAATTTCGTAGTTCACAATTTGATATTAAACATGTACTGCATATAGATATTTCTAGTTATATAACCAAATAAAACATTTCCTCTTGTCCTTGCTCTTTCTTGATTTTCTAAAGAAGAAAAATAGAAACAAAAGAAGTCATGTATATACCTGATCCCAACCTTAAAACTGGAATATGTTTGATGCACTGCAGATACACAGTTGCGGCCAGTTATTCAAAAGCAGGTTGGCCTGACATAAAATTCAAAGCAAACTTCCCAGCAGCTTCTTTATATAAACATTGAAATATTTGTTTCAGAAATCTTGTCTAGATCATCAGAAGTTTAATATTCCAAAGTTCTGAAATAAACAGATGTGCAGTTCTAATATCACAAACCAAAACAATGTGTTAAATTTTTACCCAGGGTTAGTGCTTGTGCTTTGAATAACAGGCTCCAATGGTATGAAACTATTTCAAGAACTATACCGTCACCATGTTGTGGCTGTCGTTCATTATTAACTGAAATGAAGTGATGTTGATAACTTTTAATTACACAACAGAGGTATAATTGAACTTTACAAAGAACCATGCATTGCTATGCTGTGGATGTCGTTGGTCATCTACTGAAATGAAATAGTATTAATTAGATCAAATTGCACAATACAGATACAAAAGTATATCAAGAACCATACCATTTCCATGTTGTGGTTGTGGTTGCTCATTTACTGAAATGAAATCATGTGATTGAATCATACTGAACATATCATGTTCTAAACCTACAGCACTGGACCTCGTCTTCTTCTTCATCCATATCTATAGTTAATTAGAAAAATGTTGCAAACGTAATAACCTTAATATTGTACATAATAATATATAATTACTATAATTGAAATTTAACCTTTTCTCCCCGTTGGTACATTTTCTTGTCATGAGTATACTGTAGATGTTATTATTTTCTAAACAGACATCACTAATTTCCTGCAAAGGTTGTGTGAAAAGTGTTGACCTTTTTCAGAATGACCTAATTTGTGTTTGAAATAAATAATTGAAATATTACCATCATCAACCAGAACATCTAAAGTAAAAGAAGTTGTGTTAGAAGGTTAAAGTTGAGGTAACTGTGTCACATGCAGGATATTGAATATTGATAATACCGTACATCTTATACAGTTGGTCTGTAAAATGCAATTGTCAGCATATAATTTATTACATGTAAATTATATTTACTAAGAGAGGCCAATCTACGATTACATAGTACGGTAATTGGGTTGAATTTTAACATGTTTATACGAGAATATTTCATCCCAGCTGCATGGCCAGGTGCGTTTTTGCCAAACAATTGGTCACAACTCTTGCCTTGAATCGCATAATAAAGTAATATGCTCAACCTACAGTATTTACCACTAGTGTTGAGGCCTCATTCATTTTAAGTGAGGTCTCAGCAACCAAAACAAATGTTGCTTATAACACCAAAAAGTAAATATTATACTGCATACACATACCAAGAATGGCCTCGTTGTTGGGTAATTCCACTAAAATTAAATACATAACAAAGGGATTAGCTATGAAATAGGTAAGTTAAGTTCAAGCTATACCTAGGACTATAGGTTATAAAACTCTTAACAATCTCTATATGTTTTAATATGGTCGTATAATTCACTGGTAAGAAATTGAATACTTTTATACTTTTTAAATCTTTGCTATAATTATAAAGGACAGCATTAGTAGTAGCTAGCTACAACATCTCCACTCACATGCAGTGCATATTAAAATTTTAATTATATAGAAGTTAAATAGACAAATTTAAAAATATTTTTCGGAAAAAAACTTACTACACTCCAGACACTGCGAGACCGAAAAACCAAATTTTCCGCTTCGTATTGGTTCCCTCCATATAGGAATCGGATTTTTCTCTCCAGTCAAATTGATGCAGGTTCCTGTAAAAATAGCCTCAATGAATTGTCTAAACTACCTGAGTCTCAACTACCTGTGACCCCAACTTTTCAAAGTTTTCCCCGGTTGACACCCGGACTATCTAACCAAAACATAATATCACATGCAGTAACAGTACAATTTTAAACGTTAATTGGTAAAAGTTAACATTGCACGGTGTAGTATGCCTCGCAAATCATCAAGTCTCTCAACATGATGTTTGTGATGTTACTCTGAGTGTATATCCACACCGGGCGAGCTTGAAAAATATGCCCGGCCATGCACGGTGGGAATCGAACCTACGACCTTTGGAATACTAGCTCAACATGTTTGTTGCAGCAAGCGCTGTACAAGGTAGAAACGGATTATACATTCCGCAACGATTGCGACAACGCTGCAACGCATAAATAAAGCATTGCACAGTGTAACATCCATGCATCTTGCAACTTGGCTCGCAATTGATGACTCCCCTTATTACGTTTTCGTAGTGCTTTGCATTGTGGTTATAGTCGTATCACTGATATTCAAGATGGCTTATTTTTTGTCCTGACCCGTGCAAGAACTTTTAAAAAAAGCTAGGGTCAGGTGCGCGATAGCCAACAGCAAAATATTCGCGAAAACATTCAATATTTTCATTCGAGGCCGCTATCTTTGTCAGTGATACCACTATAACCACAATGCAAAGCGCTACGAAAACGTAATAAGGGCAATCTAGTATTGTTATTCGCTGAATGGCTTCCCATTGGCTCTTGGGCAAAAACGTGACGCCATAGTTAAATAATGCAGTTATGAGAGAGGCTGTCTAACACAAGAATGGTTCCTTATATATACAAATCCGTGTCGATGTGAGTTAATGATCTTAATTGCAAGTGGTAAAATCTTGTATACCCTGATTTCCACTCTGTAAGAACTCGACCAGATTGCATGAAAGTGAATGTTTGAAGACATCACAAAGAATTGATGCAATTCCTCCATTGCAATCCACAACAATATTACAGTAGATATTACTAGGCCAGTCTTAAGCCTGCATTCTAAAAGCTCATTCACGCTCACACTCAAAGAGTGGAGGTTCAATCTAAGCTTCTCTTGAGTGTCAAAGTTATTTTTGAATAGCTGGATAGTAAGTGTCGTACCTTACTATGCATGTGACTACTCTCCCTCCAGCTATTCAAAAACAGCATTGACACTCAAGGGAAGCACAGATTGAACCTCCACTCTTTGAGTGTGAGTGAACTTTTAGAATACAGCCGTTAGGGTCGTCATGATGGCGATAATATATCACGGATATTCTGACGACTGACGAGGATAAAAAGCATGTTCAGTAAAAATGAAGGTAATTAAAATTACCAAATGCATTGGAGGCGTTTCTAATTTTTACCAGACCACAAGATCTGTTAGAATTAACAGGAAAAAAGCAGCTGCAGATTAAATAATGGCAGGTGGAATTTCAAATCTCTTAGCGCTATATTATTACCAAATGCCATTCCAAAACCTCTCTAACACGTTACGGTTCAAAACTCCAACTACTTCAACAGAGTATTTAAAGTACCATGGATAGTTGTGTGCCCCGCGTGAGCATACCGCTTCGATTTACTGCAATGCAGGAATGGATGATTTATTGGCATTTTACAATTCTCGTGAATGTTTCGACAACTCCTGTGTTCAATTGATTTCCATCATAAAAAATATCGGGGAAAGTCGAAAGAAGTTATCTAAGAGGAGGGTCATACATTTTTGGGCTAATGTTGTGCAGAGGGCCAAGATTTTTTATGCTTATATTTGAAAGAAGTTAACTATTTTTGGGCCATATTTTATATGAAATTTTACAGGCCCTCCTAATAATAATGACCGCCCTCTAATTATTCCTGTGTAAATCTGGAACATAGCTATTGCATTTCTTTCGGACACCAAGCGCCCTGATTTAATCAATACACGCGTTTCTTTGGTGTGGAGTAAGGGGCTCCAATGGATTTCTTCCTCCAAAAGGGGAAAAGCCAGGTTGGAATTATTTGAAAAACGAAGCAAACAGTAACAATGTTGGTTGCCAGTAGCAAAAATGGTATTTGAAAAAGATTCTATACATTACCTGAGGAGGTATCAAACTTGTTGGTCAGTGTCCCAGGGCAGGTACATTCCGTTTGGCCGTAGCCCTCGCGAATCTGTTAAGAACAAATGTGATATACAACTAAGTATTTAAGTGCAATAAATATAAAACAAAGACTCGGTTCAAATATAAATATCGAAAAAGCTGTAAAACGTTTATGTTTACATTCAATTAAAAGCTCCTGGATTATTATTTAAAGGTGTCTGAGAATGACAATGGCGTCGCTTACTGACAATCCGCTCTCGTCACGTTACGCCATATTATAATTAAAATTTAGTTGATGTTGTCACATAAAATACGCAACAAACACCGAAAACAAGGGTAAAACATACCCAACATCCCAAAACAACTCTCAAAAACGTTAAAACTTTCGCCTCAATGGGAGCTGCACCAGTACCGATAACAGAAATACTTCCACCCAGGATTGCCTGTGAAATTAAACATACATTAATTATCAATATACTGTAGCTAATGCTTATACTAAACGTGATTGGCTAATTTGTTACGTGGATTTAAATAAATGAAATATGGCACGACGGGCGAGTGAAGAGTTGTTGGCCGCTCCGACCGGCTGTACGTATACATAAATGCTGAAAGTGCATGGATCCAAACGTTTACGGGTTTTATTGATAAATTATTGTTTTGTGAATGTTGTTTACTGACTTATCTTATTTTTTTCGTCGCTATAAAACAAACTATTTAATGGCTGTTCTCTCGGCATCGCGGGAAATAAAGTAGTTTGTTTTCTTCGAATTCAAGATTCCATCGAATTGTCTCTGGAAAGATTGAAACTCTCGGGAGAACAAAATTAAATGTTTCTCTCGCGGGCAGACGTTAAATATATACTGTACACCCAGGAAGAACAGCTTATAGAACTGATGTTACATGCTGTACGTATAAATAAAGTTAGTTTAATTTATTTCACATATACTGTAGGCTACCTGAAATTTCTTAAATACCATTGTGTCCCAAAATCCATCGTTGTATATTTGACCCCTTAAGGTGGCTCGATATAGTTATCACAAAACCCATGCTCAAGAATCGCGAACTCAAAACCGGTTGACCATTTTTACGCGCAGGTCGCGGAAACTGATTAACAAAATGAAAGAACTTCCAAAATGACCTGACGTGAGCAGTTGCTCGCGCCATCTCACGCCATTGCGCGTGTTCTATAGCGCTTTATGTCAATTGCTGACGTCATTAGAATTTTCTATTTTAGAAAAACAATGCGCTATATCTCTTTATTTTGTCTGGTGACCTATGTTCAAATTTTGCATGCTGTATTGCACCGCTAAAAATTTTCATTATACAAAAAATAAAAAAATTCTGTAATGCCAAAAAAATGTTACCGAAGAATATGACATTTTCGCATTTTCCAAAAAAATGGCATTACAGAATTTTTTTATATTTTGCTAATTGTTAGCTTTTCGTCCAAGTAAAATAATGCACGAAAAAAAATTGGGGGTCACCATGCTTTTTTTCCAACTATACGAGACGATAGGCCATTTTGGAGTCAATTTCGTACACGTATGTCGTCATAGCAACGAACTATCTGTTGCTAAAACGAATATAATTTGAAAGTAGAGTTATCAAAATATATAAAAAACCCAATATCTGCTGAATAAATCCTAAAAATGCGTAGTTTGAACATGTCAAAGTGTTAAGCACCTGAATTTTTTAAATCTGTATCGAGCCACCTTAAAGAAAGAAAATATAAATTTTTCGATCCGTAAGCCTGAATCTGCATCAGTGCTAACCGTATGTACAGATGTGTAACTTCAGTAAAAAGTTGTCCCATGGTCGCCATCTTCCTAGCAAGTGTCGCTCGCGTGATAATTTGTCATTTGGTGATACGTTAGGGACCGGTCATTATTTATGGCGGGGGGTGGCACCGAAGAGAAATGTTTTTTGTAGCAAAAATTTTGCTGACCCAACCATTAAAAAGTAAAAAAAATGATTACCCAACCTCAAATATCAATTAAAAAATAAATACCCACCCCTGGCCAAAAAAATTACAAAAGGGTACCATTCAGTTGTCACATGGATTGTGAAATTTTCTGCAGTCTGAAGTTTCATGTTGTTCGCACATGTAGCTACTTTCTTTGGAGATCCCATCGGAAATTGATCAAGATAATGACTCTGATTGATATATACTTTTCGTTGTTTCTTTACACATTCAGTAAATCTTAGTATAACACCAAGTTCATCAATTGCTGCTATTTTGCTAGCAAATCCATGTATAATAAACCTGGGTGTTTTGCAAATCAAAAGTGATGCAACCTGGATAGTGGAATAAGTTGATTACTGTAGGCACAATTTTTGGCCACTTAATAGTCAAAGGTCATGCATAAATAAGAACAGTCTTAATTAATATTACCGCCTTACGGAGAATTTATATTAATTGTGCTACTCTAGGATCTAGAAGACCTATAGGTCCCAAACTTGACTAGCAACATAATCAAGTTAGCTATGTTAATTCATTATATATAGGATCAATGTTAAAGGCAAGGTGGGCTATAAGCTATAATCGTTTGTATGGCTTATAGAAGGCTAATTGCTGCGAATTGAATAATGAATGTAGCACAGTAGTTGCATGATGACGTCAAAGAAACTAGTCAGACTACATTTGCAAGTTTTGCAACTCTCATCGCTTAAATTCCCCATACCTGAATACAAAATAAACAGTAAACAACGATTACCTTTTACATACCATATATAAAACGGAGTTTTCATCCTTTCTAGAAACTCACTTCCTGAACTTTTGAGCGCAAATGTAATGTATTAAAAATGTATATCATATTCACAGCGGTTAATACCATTAATATAGCGCGGGCGCAATACAAAACAAAACACGAGATCGAATTTTAAAATGTTTTGATTTGCAAATAAATAAATAATATTTGATGTCATAAAAATGTTTAAATTTAACTCAACACAAACTGGTAAGTTCATGACTTGTATAATTTACTTATATGTTGTTATATTGCAATTCTGTACCCTACTCCTTTGAAAATTGTTTGCAATTGCATATGATGTGAACATGTGGTCATGTATTATAGTTGTGTCATGAATTTAATAATACCCCAATGGCTTCGAAATAGACAATGGATGGAAAAAGTCATGAATATTGAGCTTATTTAGCCTTTAAACACTTGATCGTCATGCAAATACAGTGTATTGTTTGTTTCCAGAACCCCCTCAAGCAAACTTCAACTTTTTTTGTTAAATTGTATATAATATTTTGCTTCGTACACTGTATGTGTGTGTGTATGTGGGAACACTCATGTTTGGATGCTTGGCATAGGTTAATGACCAGTATTTCATTGGAGTCATCAGGGATATAGTTGTATATTCCTGAAATTACCTCTAAACACCTAAAACAGCATTCCCTAAAATTTTAATTGTTTTCTTACATTGCCCTATATCGCTCAAACTCGCATTGCTTAAATTGCAGATTTTGCTTAAATCACCTTGCTTAAACTCGCATTATCTTGTTATCGCCCCAGAGTAGGGCCTACTGTTGCCATTGCTTTTTAGTCCCCAATACTTCAGTGAGTCATGCTTTTGAAATGACAATAATTTTTTATTACCCAACCCTTGAGTTGTTTTGTTTTTCATTTACCCAACCTTTTACTTACTCAAAATTTAGTTTACCCAACCCTTTTCTCTTCGGTGCCACCCCCTGCCATAAATAATGACCGGTCCCTTATTGCTTTCAAAAATGCTTTCAATACCTTGGGCCAATTGTTCAAACCTGGGTTAGCTTAACCCTAGGTCAACCTAAAATTCAACTTCCCAACAGCTTGTTTATAAATTTGAAAATATTTCTTTAGAGATCTCGTCTGCATCAGTATAGGAGTTTTCTTTCCTGAAATTTTGAAACAAGACGTGCAGAAATGCATAAACTAAAACAGCAGGTTAAATTTTAACCAAGGGTTAGCGCTAATCAAGCTTTGAACAACCAGCCCCTTTTCTACAACTTTAATCACTTTCAATAAGTAAACTTTCAACATTCGGCAATGATTCTCAAGTTCGTGTTTTCAGGACGCCTTTTTGCTAGCAAGTGTCATGGCGTGAGCATGCATGACGTGTTATACATCTAGGGAAATTTGAGAACACGAAGTCCCATGAAGTTACACATTTGGTATATTCTTCATCTGTGTTTAGTTCACAGGTACGTTTTTATACTAAAGGGTGGCGATCTGTTTGCTCGCGTCACTAGAAAAGTTCTTTCGTCTTCTTGTCATATGCAGTTTAAGAGAATGTTGGAACAAGTTTACTTTGAACAAATCTCAGTTCAGACTTAGTTACTCACTTTTCGAGGTCAGCCAATTTTGAGGCAAAAGCCTTTCCGAATAACCACTTCTTTAGACCTCCACTTGACTCTACTCCTGCAATAATCTGCATGAAAAATAATATAACTTTTTAGTCTTGGGATTTTCACTTGACATTGGCAAACAAATTGTTTTGTCGTCATACAATGTATGTTGTCTAGGCAATTTGTGAATGCTACCAGGGCGCTGTCAGGCGTTGAACGGGTTGTGTTTGTTATAGAATATAGTTAGCATGAAAGTAAACAAAGTTAAAACATTTCTGATTGACAAGTACTGCGTATGGAGAATATATGAACAGAAGCAATACGGAGCTGACAAAACCATGAAAATAGACAATCTGCAGTATCATTTGGAAGCAAAAGAGGAAGAACTTACAGAAACCGTCGCGCTTTAGGCCATGATTTGAGAACATCTATTATTGATAAAATTCTATTGATTGGAAGATGTTCAGAAACTGGTTATTTTCCAGGTAGTTTTAAGACTGCTGCTGACAAATTTAGACTAAGAAGCACTTTTTACTTTAATTTCAACATTTTGAACGTTTTTACTTCAATTTCAACATCCCATCTAGCCTGTGTAGCTGCCGTTTTTGTGGGAAGGCTCGCGGCGGGAAAATTAGAACGGGAAAACGGCAACCGGGCAGAAAGAACGGGCGTGCGTGGAAAACCGTCAAATCGGTTTTTCATATATTTTCAAAGCCATTCCACTGGTGGACTGGAAATACGCGATTGGCCAAAATACGCGATTGCGTCACAACATTGCAATGTTGATTCGCAAATTGTTCTGAGCAAATTGCAGCCGCGGCTTTTTGACAAGATCGAAGCTACAATATTTTGAAAATATATTTGTACGTTTTCGTTGGCCAACAACTAGTAACAAGATTTATAACGACTTTGTTCGCCATTTAAATAAAGTTTATAACAGTTTCTAAGGTATAGATGATAACGGATTGAAAATACGCTTAGAATGGCCAATTTTTCCCAAAAGCCTGCAATATTTGCCACTTATGTATATGAAAGTAGTTCGAAATTAAACTCTATCTCGTCTATAAGCGCGATATCGAACGCGATCGTGTTTACAATTAGTATGCCAAATTTGTATGAAATTTATAATAAATCATCTCACATACCGTAAAAATTGCAATTTGCTCCGAGCAATTTGTACATCAACATTGTAATGTTGTGACTCAATTTTGTAAATTTGCTCGCAAAAGAACATCCGGTTTCACTGTAACAAAGTTTTATCGTCGCAGCGTTTCCTGGTCTGCTGCAAAAAAACGTATGAGGTTTTTCAAAGTTCCCAAATTTAAGTTTGAGCGGACATTTACACAGCGTGCAAAAGTCATTCACGCTTTATTTTACCTTTTTGAACAGCTTTTTTGAGTTTCTGGCTCATTCATTGTGCACAGACACAAGCGTGGAAACAGGTAAGCTCCAATCAAGTGCGTATTAGGAGAGCCCAGTAATACGAGGGGGTGAACTAATATGACCACCCAGCCGTCGATTTCATGTCAATTTTGGATTAACTTATTAAAATGGGCGGCAATGAAAAATATATGGACAACAGGTTAATGGTTTTTCACGCCCCTCAACCCCGCTGGTTCTTTCATCCAGAGCGCCGTTCTTCTC